AAATACAGTATGATTGCTATTATAAAATATAATCTCTGTGTGATTGTTAACTTGCATATCTTTGGGACATGTTTCTTACTGCTTTTGAAGCAGAAAGGGACTCAAAACTAAAACATAAAGCAGTTGCAGTGAGTACTGAAATTTTTCACCCATCCCTATCCTTGGTTGTTGATACATGATGGATTTAAAACCAACAGGATCCTGCACCCTAGTATAAACCACTTCCATGCTTCTGTTTTTGACTAAGTTTTGCTATTTGCTGTATATTCTAAAGAAACCAGGCTAAGGTATATACGAAGTTCTGTGTCACATGTTCTCAAGAAGGTGACTAGCAGCAGATCAAAATAAGTCTATACAGGCAGACAGGAAACTCCATGAGTAACACAATGGGAAGGGAGGCTGAATTCAGGCTGGAAATGTTTGCAAAGAAAAACATTCAGAGAAAGCATTTTTTTTCTCCACTTTTTCATCCTGCTCACACATTAGCATCAGATGCAACACAGCAGTGTGCCTGTGGCAACAGACTGATGCCTCCCAAGTCAAACAATCAAAATCACTGAGCACAATTGCAGGGTAGACACTTGCTGTACCTGCTGCTCCTGGTCCCTCCACTTCTCTCCCTCTGCATTTTAGAGCAAAGCTGATCATCTTGTCCCTCCCAGTCTCTCCCTGATAACTGTGCTCCCTTTTGTTTTCTGCTCCTGACACTTATGCCATCCCTTTAGCTTTAAAGTAGCACTAGGTAGGAGTTTAAACATGACCCCAAGAACGAAAACTCAAATTGTTGGAATTCACATAATCCCATGGAGTTGTGAAGATGCCAGCCTCAACATTTCAGTGAAAACATAGTCAAAGCAGTATTAAACAGAAATGTCAGACTCCATACAGTCAATAATAATACAGGAGATATCCATAAGGCACACTGACCTCTTTCCCTAAGTCAAACTGAAAATTTTGCCATTCCACTTGGCTGTTCTCAACATCACCCCAAAAAGAACTGTTTTAAGCATTATCAGTGTGATTAGTTTTCAAAAGTAAAATACTAGAATCACATATGCTGATTGCTTATCAATTTTGCAGACAGTATATAAAGCAAGGAACTAACATAATGATTCCAAACAAAATAAGAGATAAGAGTAAACACAGGATTTTAAACTATTGTTTTGGAATGAGAGTAATTCTGCCCACTAAGCTGCACAGTCCTTAACAGTATATTTCTGAGCCACAAGTATTTACCTATATTGCTAGAGGGTAAAAGAAATGAAATGTAAAGAACATAATAGGAATTGCAGTAAATACAAAGAAAAGAGAATTATGGAAAGTACACTAGAGAACACCAAAAGAATACATGAGGGGGAAGATAGGTAATATCGGTGACTTAATAGGAAAATTTTGAGCAGTTGCTCCAAGTGGTGTCCACAGAGAGCTGCTATTCACTTCAGGCTGGCTCTCCTTGTTTCCAGCTGCTAAGTTCACATTGAAAGAAGCTAAAAATACATTAAATACTTTCCAAATATTATTTTCCCATGTAAGCAATTGGTATAAGTTGTCACAGAGATGTTGTCCTCTTGCCAGTGAAAAGGCAAATAGTATACAAGAAGTATTCCGTGAAATCTTTTGTCTTATGCACAATGCAGCTGAAAATATGGGGAAGCTGGAAAAGGCATTATCTTAGCTACAAGTATTTCCAACTGTTCCCCTCTTTCAGCAAGTCAATATAGGAAAATGACACTTAAATATGAGGACCTTATTGCCTGTGAGAAAAGCTATACTCTGCACTACTCAGGAGCATAATATGTATGCCATTTCTATCAATCAAGATTTGATATTTCAATGAGAGGAAAAAAAAAAACAGGAGTGGCAAATGTCTACAATTTAGGTATACCATATCCTGACAAACTGAAATTTCACAATGCTGCAGATTTAAAACATAAATGTACAGCTTTGCATTCAGGACTGTCCTTGCCAGTAAATTCAGCTCAACACAAAAGTAAAATAGGGGAAGGGATGGGACAACACATACTGAAAACCATCCAGTTCTTTCTGTTAAATGTGAAGTATAACAGGCTTTTTTATGACATGCCTTCCTCCAAAAATAGCAATGATTACACTGCTCAACTCCCACACCCCCACCCCCCCAGCTTGGCTTTTTTACACATAGAACATTATACATTCTCAGTCCTGAGGAAGGAGCCAAAGTCTGTGGAGCCAAGAGGACTCACTCTATCACCCAGTACCCAAACTACAGGAAAGGAAGTAGGGAGGCAGGCAACTCTAATTTCTTATAGTATTACATCTTCTTTTAAAAGCCAAAGTGCCAGATTTTTTAGGGACTCTGAAAACCACAACTTTGCACAGTTTTGGAAAGATGCTCCAAGTCCCAGCAGTGATAATCTGCCAATTCCAAAGCACATTTGTGAGCAAGACTTTTTTGTCTTCCAAACAAATACAAAGATTATACAGTCTATTCTCTTCACAGGGATGAGGTGGGGGAAATGTTAAGATCACAGCTGCTTCAGCAGTGGAAGCTGCAGCTGCCTTCGAGCTTGTAGTGACTGTGTAGCCTACCATGCATTTGAGGGATGCTACTGTGCTACAAATACTGTCCCATTTGGGGCTTTTTTCATGAATGGAAGAAACCTGAAGCTTTAGCCTGCTGTAGTTAATGAAAAGCCTTGCAAATTGTTTTGCAATACTCTACCTAAGTTTGAATTCAGCTAAATAGCCTTCCTATCAGAACTTCCTAAGTAGCTACTTAAGATAGCTGTATTCTTAAATAACACTTTCTTCACACCTCCTATGACATTTGGTTTTCAGAATTATCACATTCCTGTTGCCCAGTCATGATTTATTTTATATATGAAGCAATACATACAGTGAAGATAAGATAGAATCACAACCATTTCAAGCAGCCTACATCTGGAAGGAACTTACCTTTATGAAATATGGTTAGGCTTTTTAATAGAAAAAGCTAACATGTCTTTTAACAGTGACCTAAATTTCACTAAAACCAAGAAAGGATGTATCAATACTTTAGGGTAAGTACAATAGCTCAGTTTTCCTCATTATTCTGAAGAATCAGGTCTGGCTGATGTATTTATTTTGTACCGTTTAACTATAACAGAAAATAGATGAAGTTCAAATGAAAACACTGTTTAGACTATGTCAACAAAGCATAAACTAAATGAAGTGATTCTGCATTGACTATAAAAACATATTTGCTAATATTAAAGTTACTAATGGTTATCTATCAATCTATCACAACATGAAGTGATTCTGCATCTTAAGAACTGTGTTAAAGCAGCAGACACATGAAGTTAGATGCGATTTTGCAAAACAGCATCATGGAGTGCACTTTATTGCTGTTTTATCATTAGTGTAAATAATTCAACAAACGCAGGAGACCTCCAGATTACTTGGGGTTTTTTTGTAAATTGCAAGTCACTAAAGGGCTTTCCACTCAGACAGTCAATGCTTACTTTACACTTGCTAGCAAAAAAGAAATCAAATATAATAGTATCTTGTATACTGAAACAACTGGTTTGTTATAAAGAGAAGGCTTCAGAAAACCAGAAAAAATGACACTGCTGTAAAAACCTGTAAGTCTTTTACTCTCAGTTCAAAGACTTAACCATTCTTCTACAACAGACTGAAGTTTCATATTCATCTCAGCAAATCAATCCACTAATAGGCATCAGTCATCAACACCGAAGTAAAATCTGCCACATGAAACAGCTTTGATGTGATTGAAGACTCACACATAGTCGTAAGTATGACAGAACAGCTTAGCTATTAAAATGTTTTATCCAGCAAAAAACTGTTCATCCTAATTGACTGAAATACTCTTTGAATGCTATTATTGCAAGGCTACTTCACTAAGCAGCACCTTGGTACATAGCCACTTGACTTATATCTTGAGATCCAGCACAACCACATCAAATCTTGTTAGAGTATTTTCTTACACTTACTTTTGTCAAGAGACCAAAACAATAAAACTGACTGTCATTTTTACTACCAGTTGCTTAGTTAATTCAATACTGAAACATACTGGGATTCATTATAAACTCTGCATGCAATCAGCCATTTCTATCAATCTTTCTTTTTAGTGCAGTAACAGAATGAAACCTACTAACCACATCAGTTGAAAAGGGTTGGCAGGACTGGGTGGAAGCTAAACTTCTGCACTGAGCCCAGCCTCTCACCACGAGAGGTGCAGTAGCTTTAAACAGCAATGTGCAGCCCTGGCCCAGCTCCAACACTGACCATATGTCACAAGCTGACAGATAAGAAGCCTGAGACAGCCATCTGAAAACAACTGTACCCAGCCCCAGACACCAGACAGTGAGGGTTTTAAGGTCTACATCATCATTCATTTAAAAGCCAATTTTAAACATACCAGAAGGAAGCATACTGACAAAAAAAACACAACCTGCGCCCACCCCCACCCCCAACAAAACCAAATCAAACCACAACAAAATAAAAAACACAAACCAAACAAGCACACAGTCATTGTCAGAAAGTCCATATGATACAATACTCCAATTCAGGAAGTGTCCATCAAATATCTCAATTGATTGCAAAAAACACAGTCAGAAAATTACTAACAGTTTGTGCCTATAACATTTTCCTTTCTCCATTATATTCACAGTATGTTAACAAGTTGGGGAAACAACTTGAGAAAGGAATCAAATATACCAAGCAACTGCCAGCAAGATTACAGAATCAAACAAAATATTATTGATTTAATATCTGAAATGAAGGATGATATGATATTTGTCCCATATCTATTAATACATCACAGAGTTCGTCCATGTATGCCACTACATTTGTTACCAGAATGTATGTCATATCATTTCTTTATATATAAGCAACATATCACCTATCAGCTCTTATTTCAAAATTACTAAATAATCAGCACAACTTCACTCTCCTATGCAGTTTCCACAGCTCCATACATTTCATTTCCATACTCCAAATTAATAAAATCCAGGTGAACTTACCTACAGTTCGGAGGAGGGTCTAATGTAATTTCTGCAAGTTCTTTCTGAATTCTTAAAAGAAAAAGAAAATACTATCAGGACTTTGTTTCAGTCTGTTTCTTTCAACTTTATGAACATTTCTACATCCATCAATAGTAAAAAAATATAATTCTTAGAATTTCTGGTTGAAAGCTGATCTATAATGTTTCATGAAAATGTGCAAGAACATGTAGAAGTGAAAACCATATATTTTCTGAAAAATGAACATCCAATAAGGAACAAATGCTATGAGCAGCCACCTAGAAAATCACACTTTTTCCATAGGTCAGGAATCTCAGCTCCTTGGCTCACTTACACAGTTACTAAATACCTCATATACCCGCCTTCTCTATTTCCCTTTAACTATATGTCTTACAGTTCTTGCCCTCCAGAATATTTAGCTTCTTTATGTATATTGTACTGGCAGGGCAAAACCCCCCAACTCAAAAGACAATTACCCAGAATAAGCCCACCCAGGACGTCACAACCTCATGCATATTGGGGTGGACTGATACTGGCTTCCCCCAAAGGGGAAAGCTTCCCTGGTCAGCCTGGGGACCCGCTGCTGGACGTGCTCTGATATCTGCCTTCATTTTACAGAGGGGACAAAACTGGGTAAATGCTATCCCAGATACAGTCTAATGAGAGCTGAGTAAAGGCAGATAAATCTCTTTCATTTGTCTATGGACTATGCTTCTGTTAATACCTCCCAGGAGGCAGCCCAGCCTTTGTCGCTGCCTCACACTGAGCCTGCTGTCTGCCAAGGCCCCCACATCCTTCTGAGCAGAGATGATCCCCAGCGTATCTGAGCAAGGGGTAAGTCATCCCCATGTACATCGTGTTCATTTGTCCTTGTGGAATTTCATGAGTTCTCTGTCAACTCTCTCCTGAAGCCTGGCCTGATCCCTCTGAGCTGAAACCTTGCCCGTGTGTACAAACTGCTTGTCATCTGAAAACTTCTCAGTGCACTCTGCCATGTCCTCCAGGTCACCAATAAAGACATTACAGGCATCCTGCCAGAGTTTGAACTCCAGGGAGAGCAACTTCATTGTTAAGGATTTCTGGATATTCTCAGGCTGACGCTTCCCAGCCAAGTCCTTGAATACCTGATCTCTGCCACAGCTGGCACTGGGGTCTCTTTTCCCTTGCACCAGCAACTGCATGAGAGCCAGTATCTTGACCTCTGAAGAAATTTAAGTATGCAGAATACGATACAGAGCTCTCAAAGGAACTCGTAGGAGTTTACAGTTCCCAAAGACTTGCCAGATTACAATGCCATAAAGCAGGACTGCAAATGCCACCTTCCCTATAAACTATGTCCAAGGCTTTTTTCATAGGCTACTTCAGTGCAAAAACAAACATTTAGAATGAGGAAGGAAAAGAAAAACAATTCAATACATCCTCAGTGGTTTCTTCTTGCCTTCTCCTTCACAAAATTTCATGCATAGAGCTATTCCTGTTATCCCATACACTAAAAAAGAAATAATAACACAATAATACCACTCAAATTCCTGAGACAGGTGCTCAAGCCACAAGCCAAAGGTTCAGGCCTGACCTACACATATCTTGTTTAAAACAACTGCTACCCATTTTGCATATAAATACAGGTAAAGAAAATGGGTTATCACAATAAGCATTCAGGTATATTGGCATATATAAAGTAAAAAAGAGCAGTTTAATTCTTTATATAATGCTACAATCCAAACACAATCTTGCATGTTAAGGAGTCTCACAGACACTATCAAAATTCCCCTTATATTAATTGATTTTATGGCTGTAATGAATAAATAGACCAACAGCAGTAGAAGAACTGGCCTGAACCAGGAACTCAAGCTTTTATCATTCACATTCTGAAATAATTAGGACATACATGGTCAAGATTTGTAGGCAGAGGTAATAATCATTTATTAAGACCTGATGAGATCATTGAAAAGATAAAAATACTCCTCCAGATGCTAAGCTTGTCTTTAACTTCTATGCATATAAATACAGGCAAAGTAAATGGCTTATCAAAACAAGCATTCAGGTATGTTGGCATATATAATATGCATGTACCAAATGCACGCACCCAACTTGGTGCCATCTGAAAACTTTAGAGTGGATTCTGACATATCCTCCAGGTCACCCATAAAGACATGACAGGCATCCTGCCAGAGTTTGAACTCCAGGCAGGGAAACTTTGTTGTTAAGGATTTCTGCACACTCCCAGGCTGATGCTTCCAAGTGAAGTCCTTGAATAGCTGATCCAGCTGTGTGTATATACCCTAAATACAGAGCTGGTGTATACCCTATGTACACACAAACACAGAAAGTTATTTCTGTAGAGGGAAAGCAATTTGATCTTTACTTGCTTTTTCTACTCATTGAGATGTTTGTACCTCCAGCATACAGAATTCCTCCAATAAATATCATAACTTTCTTATAAAAATACAGGCCCAATCTGCTTACTCAAGCACAAAATCATTATAGTAACGCTGAAAGTCATCCCATTTTTACTGAATTTTAAACACAACAAAAACGTTGTTTTAAAAGTTAGTCCATTTTAAACAGTCCTAACAAATCACAACTTTTAGAAGGGGGATCTTATAACTGTGGGAATGCTTAAAATATTTCTTCTGTATATTACAAAATTCTGCCATGATTTTGAAATTTATCCTACTACAAATTCGAATTACAGAAAACCTAAGATGCATGGAAACTTCAGTTTTGTGGTTTATGAATTGTTTAGTTTTCTCAGTCTTTTTTGAAGTTACAGAATGATGGCATTGCACTTGTTTTTGAAGTCAGAGATCATTCCTTTATTTTACATATGGTTAATATTTCATGGCATTAGAGTGAGTATGAGGCACATCAAGAATGGACTGACAACTTCAGTCCTAGATCAAAAACTTTACATTCTTCCTCCTAAATCCTAACCCTGTTCCTTACATTCTGAAAACAAAATGGTTTCTCATTTTCTCCATCTGTTCTAGTACAACCCAAAACTTCTAATGCAAATAGCACTAAAATGGCCCTTTATCAAGCTAATCTGTGATTGAGCAGACATGGACAAACCACCTTTCTGCTTCAAGACGTAAAAATTGATCAGATAGTACTGTCTATTAATGTTCAAAAGACATCATTGCCCTTGCAAACATCTAAGACAAAGATGTTTAATTCATGATTATTTTTATACAAACAAGATAAACATATTAATACAATGCTGTCTATCAATTGCTCCTCAGCAAGCTGTCCATGTTTATTCTCCTGCTCTGTGGTGTCCCAAACTAAAATTAATTTATACACCTTCTATTTCTTTTGTTGCAACCTTAATTTACCTTGTATTCATGCTGAGAGCTCATTCATAAACAGATTCTGTAGAACAGCTGACACGTAGCTTGTTCAGATGTCACAGCATTCAAAGTTACAATTAAATCATCGGACAGCATCCCAGAGAGCCGTGCACTGATAGAGACCTCCAGTGTGTAAGCTGGCCTTTGTCTGCACGTGCTCTGGCACTTGCCTCTATCCCCATTGAGCTGCCCTCAGAAGCTGCCACAGGGGAGGACGTGCCTCATTTCCTTCACTGACCACAGAGGATTCACCACGAGAATATGCAGCCTCTGTCGACAAAACATTTTTTTAGGGTCCTTTCTGGCATCTGTTTTTTTTGGGTTTCCTGCCTCAATAACAGGTATGTTTAGAAATGTCAGAGAGGGAAAACCCTCTAAATTAAAATCGCTACATATATCCAGTTTATATTTAAACTAATGACATTATGGTTTATTACATATTGGACAATGGGGATGATGGCAGGGGGTGAGGCCCTTGCTGGTAATCAAAGCCCTGGGCTGCACACATAAGACAATTTATTTGCAGTGTCAGATCTGATACTTTGTTTGGTCTTAGAGAAGTCATCTAACTCTTCTCTCTCATATAAATACAGACACATATAAAAAAATTTCTCTCCACTTAACTAACGGAAAAGAACAAACACAGTTGCCTTCCAGTAATGGTGCAAAGGTTAATCTACTCATAAATTCAGAAGCATGAAAGTACATTGTGGATTTCAAATATTATTAATTCTCACAGACACATATTTATTGCTGTACCATGCCAAAAGGGACCAAGTTGTTTCCTCCATGAAATAGTTCTCTAAAGCTAAGAAAGATGTGAATACGTTAGAGAATTTCCCCAAGATTATTAATACGAAAAGAAATAAAATAAAGCATTACATGACAGTAAACTATTTTTACCACATCCACTTTTCTAAACTACATGTCTCTCTACTTAGAAAAGCCAGATGAATCAATACCCTATACCAGAGAATATACTGCTTAGAACATACTTAAAAATGCAGTCACTGGTATGTATTTCAATACTAAATAAATTGTGACTGAGCAGGAAATTTATCTAAAGATGGTTAGGTTCATACTGGAGAAAAATAAATATTCTCACCTACTTACTAAATTATGGATAAATGACAAGGATATTTCTTGTAAGAAAAAGCACTCCATATTTTGCCATCATATTCAACATGCTAATTATAATTTCCAGATTCTGTGATAAACCCCTCAGGAAAACAAAAAAAAAATGAGGGGAGGGTGGGAAATGCTCCATTTGGTTGAATTTTGAACCAATTTCATCTATCACTTATTTGCTCCTCCTTAAGGCTGAAACTGCTTTGAATAATGAAAATATTACAACTAAAGTAGTACAGTTCACAATTCCTTGTAGGCACATATATTTATTTTAAAAAGTCATGATTGGACATAAAGGTTTACAGATTTTCAACCAGCAACTTCAGGAGCCAAGCAAAACAATACATTTCTTTGTTGAGCTACTATGTCAGCCAAGAATGGTTACACTTCCCTCAATCCAAAGGTCACGCTAAGATTTGCTACTTAAGAGGTAACAAGATGCCTGCTGTTTTCAAGGACAGCAATTCAATTCCATGTCTGAACTGTAATTGTGATATGCAGCAGGTTTCTCAATCTTGACATGTTGGGTAAGAAAGGTTGCTATTTAAGGTGATGCCCTCTGGGTGAGGAAAATTGAAGGACCGGTGCATTACACAACATATGCTGTAAGCTATTACACCTGTATAGCAGCTAGTCCTGAACTATTAACAGAGAAGGACAGCATGTGATGGCATTCTACCTTCTTGGTGCCATCCACAGCAATGCTAACAGAAGAAACTTCATATCTCAACACCAAAAATCTTACTCAAATAGAAATATGAATGGTTTCACATAGTCTCTGTAATCAGATCACTTTGGAAAGCAGTTAAGCTGCATGAACAGTATATTCATACATAAGACATGGGAGCAGTTTACTGTTACACAACCAAAAGTCAGCACACTGCTAAATCTTGATTTATACAAAACCTCATGCTACTGAAGATTCTTTAAATATGACTACCTAAACATAAAAATCAAAAGCAAAACAAAGAGTCTTCCAAACAGAGATACACAAACCGCTCTCTATATTCAGTAGGTATCATAATGCAATCAAAAAAAAATGTGGCTACAATTCCATGTGCACAAAAAAAAACTTTCCAAGTGAGAAAATCTGATTTCCAAACTCAGGTTAGAATGAAGCATGTAGTCTGTGACTTTAGCTCCAGTGACCTTGCTGGTGTTAGATGCTTCTAACAGGAATTAAGGAACCTTGACGAAAGACACAACTGCACTACACTCTGCTGTTTGAGTATTTTACTGATTTTTTAGCAGTGTTGACTCCTCTCACTGTAATAAAGGTATGAAAGGCCTTATTAATCCTACACTATTCCTCATTCAAAATGAACTAAAATAACAATACTACTATGAAGATATTTTATACAGACTGTTTCTGGAATACCTAGCACATATTGAGGACATTAAGACATTTTTCCTTCCTTTATGCTACTCCCCTCCTTTTTAACCTCAACTTTAATTTCTGATTTAGCTTTCTTGAGACACCACTGATTTTAATTAAAAAGCACAGAAACAAAACCTGTACTATGAACACCTGGCCAGATTAGAGAAGGTGCAATCCCAATTCTAACAAAATTACAATCTACTGAATATTAAAAAAAAAAAAAAAAAAAAAAAGGAAAAAAAAATACAATGATATGGAAAAATGGAAAAACCCCCCATTACTACAACAATTGTTTCTGAAACCCTTCTATAAAGGGCTACTCCTAAATTACATTTCTCTTCAAAAATACTGTACACATATCTACAGAACTATTGTAAGTCATGTCAGCTTTTAAAATGTATAATCAAATGTATATTTCTAAAATATATAATCAATATTACTACACATGTGAAATTAGCTTTAGAGTCTAACTGGCAAATGTACTGAAGTCAGCAACTGATGGCATAATTAGTTTCAGCAGAACCATAAGTAGATATGATTAAACTTTAAAAGGTTTAAATAATTTTATCGCTGTAAAATGCTTGTTGACAAAAGCTCTAAGCTTTGAAGATACAAAGCTAAGATTAATAGACCAATTTCTGACATATCATTATTAATTTTTTAATAGGATAGTGTCCACAGGCCCTTGTCAGAATTGTAGCATCATTACACCAGGCATTGTACAAAGTTCGGAATACATAGACTGCTTTCTAAAGATGCTGGAAACTGTTTTTATGACCTTAAAATTCATGTCTAATCCAATATTCCTAATATATAAAAAATAATAATAGCAGGAAGCAGACAAAAGAGAAGACCAGAAACCATTATGGCTGTGAGGATTAACTACATGAATAATATAATGATTTGTAGTGAAAGTTGGGTGGGGTTCTTTGCCCTTCTTGTTGTCAAAGGAAACATGGGCAAGTTTTTCTGGCCATTCTGGGGCAAGTTTTGCTGGCCATTCTGTAAGTGATATGACCAGGTAATTTCCTAATAGTGTCATAGTAGGAATGTGTGTCCAGAAAGTATTTCTCCAGGGAATTAAAAATGAAAAACTAGCTGTAAGAAAGGAATCTATAGCAGAAGAAAAGCATGAAATAGCAGTACCTCATTGGAAAGACAAAGATACTTTAGTATCTTTATTAAAGTATCTAAAGATACTTTAGAAAAGTAATTTAGATACTTTAGAAACTTTCCCTGTCTAATTGGTTAGGGACAGATTAGGGCAAAACAAAGACTTGAATCCTGACTAGATGTACACACATGTTTATATAGTATTATATACAGATTCTGACTACGTGCATATGTTATAAATTATGGCAGCAGGGGCTTGATGCTTCTCCTTTCCCACAGTGGTACAATTCCAGTGTTTTCTCTTGTAGTTTACACTGCCTTGGACTAGCAGAGAAATGAGATCTGGGAATTCTGCATCAGGACAGTCTGCAGAATTGGTCTCTTGTCAGATTATTTTATGAGTGCTTTTTAACTTCAATCACTATAATCCCACTTGCCCAGACTAACAACATTACATGTACTAGCAAAGAAACACTAAACTGTAAATTCCGTCTGCCTGGTCCCAGCAAGACAATCATTATCTGGAGATGGACATGATAGCATAGAATAATTTAAACAGCTATTCTACAAACCAACCTTTAATCTCAGTCAGAAAAGGGAGGGAAAATAAATGGATATTAAAACAGATCACAGTTTAAAGTAATGAAACCAACATACATTTGTTGTTCACTCAAGTATTTCTGACCTGCTCATCTGGGAAAAGAAAAGGCAGTACTTCATGGCAATAGGTATTACGGTAGTCCTAACATGCTGAGTTACTGAACTGTCTGAAATGTTTATGGCTAATTAACTGTAAGTTACACTGACAAGTTTCAACATCAGTCATACATACATATACAGAGATATATTTTATAAGGCTACAAAACTGTCTGAGTTTTATTAGCAATAAAAAAATGTCAGCTTTTATCATGCAAGCAACTATTAAAACCATGTGAAAGAGGCAAACGGACAAAGAAAGGGAAAAGTATACAGGTCTCATTATTGTGACCAGTCTCAAAAGGTTATTACATGGATACAGTAGTGTTATAATAAAACAATCAGAAAATTAATATACTGAGTCAATACATGGATCTGATGACCAGCTGAAAGAAAGAAACAGTCAGGAAGAACACCGTACCTTTTAGCGCTAGTTGACAATTTAGCAGCTGTTTTGCTTGATATTTTCCCCTCTTTTTTCTTTGGTTGAACTTGCTCCCTTTCTTGTTCCTGCTGAACACCTTCACGCTGATCTCCATCAGAGCTACCTCCACTAGTGCTTGGGCTATCATCCACTCTCTGCCCCTCTGTAGACATGGCAGATGCTGCACTGAACAAAGACAAACAACTAAAGTTAGTTTTTTGAGGAGCAACTGCCTCATTGTATTTCTTACATGCTTAAGGAAAGAACACATGGGATATATGTCTCTGTCCTAACAAAATAATGCTTGTATCACAGTAGTTCAATAATCCTCATACTGAAGAGTTTTGCCACAAACATCTTAACAATAATTCAGGAGCTGGCAATTTTAAACACTATACCACTGCCACCCCCCAAAAAATCCCAACCAACCCACAAACAAAAAATACAAACAAACACACAAACCAATCCCCTTGCCAAACTCTCCACAAACACATATATATATGTATGAAAACCAGAAGTTACCGAAGTTAAGTGGGAAACATAATCCTGAAAGTGTAAAACCATTCACTGTGAATTATGTTTTTCAACCACTCAGCAATGCCATGAGTTAGCTGTCCCATCAACTATGCCAGCAGTTCATATCTAACACAGCTAGCTAAAAACTGAGCTATTAGTATCTTAGGACTCTCTGTTATCCCATATGAAATAAATTTGTGGGCTCGTTCCAAGCGTACAATGTGGGTTTCCACATTACAAAATCCACATCTTGGCATGCTTGATGGAAACACAGAACTAAAAAGCTGTAACACAGGACTGTTTGTATTTACTAAAATAGTGAGCACGTTGGTAGAGGATATAACTAAGTTTTTTCCTGACATTTCATTCAGGCAACATGAGGCAACAAACTTGTCAGAGAATATGAGCAGCAAGAAATCTCAGCATATTTCAGAAGTCAAGTTAATGCTTTATTTGCACACTTCTGATACTAGTTAGCTATTTTAATTTCTTCCTTCATTTTAAATAGTATAACAATACGCTGACAGATGAGGAATTACAAGCCCACTGTTACAGCTGTCATGACATCTCAAACTCTCAAACTGTTCTAATGAAGGGCAGATGTCCATTAAAAACTCTTACTGAATTAGCATATCTGGTGGCACTACCTGATTAAAAAAAAAACCAAACCAAACCAAAAAAAAAAAAAAAAAAACCTAAACCAACAAAACCAAAACCAAATTAAAACCAAAGTGAAACCCAGGTCTTTCCTTTAACACCAAATCTGTACCTTATACACCTATGTTACATATCCTTCTCTAGAGATTTTTAATAAAAAGCACACAGGCCCAAATGTTACTTGCTTACACCCACACAATCCCCGTATATTTGGGTGGTTTTCTGATCAAATCTGTCTGAATGAAGAATTTGCTTTTTCATACACGAAGAGTTTCAAATTGCTGTGAACTTCGACTCGCTTTTCCTCTTACCTATGTACAGACATCATCACAATTAAGAACAAACCTTGACTATTATGTGTTTTAAGACTCGCTCAAGGGAGAATAATGAGATTTCAGGCTCAGATTCAACCATGCTTGTTCTACAGATTAAACAAAGTTCATCTCCCTGTACATATTTATGGAAAGAGACAGCAAAGGAAAAGTAAATTAATATCAATGCCAACAGGGTTATGTTGAAAAGGATGCTTTTTAAAAAGGCCTAAGTGTTCTTGTTACAGAATAGAAATAAATTTACTCCTATACTAAAAGACCCTTGCCAAGATCTAATTCTATCAAATAATACACACTATGGAGCAGAAGAAATAATCTCTTCAGGCATTATTGACACATCCAACTAACTTCAGGAGGAATTAGGTCTTTTTCATCTATCTTGTGAAGCTATACTGAAAAAGAATTCTGGAAGTATGGCACCCCTTCAAAATGTTTAGACATTAAAAGAAACAGCAAGAAATACCAAGTGATAGATATGTGACTAAAGTTTCCCTTCATCAGCTTAAGCTGCATTTTTGATTTTATAACAGAAAATAGTATTTTTGCATCTAAAGATATATAAATACACAAGACCTAACCTGCTCATTAACGTAACTGAAATAATGCAGAATTTCTGCCCTAAAATTAAAATATAAGAATTGTCCACTCCTAGAGAACAATTTCTCCTATAGTTCAGCTGCAACAATACATTTAACATAGTCCATAAATTTACGCAGACTGATGTTCAGATACTTAAATCCTATTGTGTGATTTCAAGGTAAAGCAGCAGAACGCTTAGAGGTAATAAACAATAAAAGTATCACATTCTGACAAGTCAAAATATGCAGCTATAATGCAATTTTGGTAGTAAGTAACCATTTTCCTGGCTTCTACATAAAGTTAAAATACAACCTCATCTCTTTTTATAACACTTATGTTGGCCTTTATTTGCCCTAGATTTTACTTCTGACCTTTGCTTAATACATCTAAATTTAAAGAGAAAAATTCTCTCTTCACAATGTACATAGGCTTCAACACTGCAGGCCAGAAAGTTAAAAGCATATTTAATAATACTTATATGCATAGGACATCTGCTATGAATAATCTTGGCTACAAATATTACTATTATCCAAAAAACAACTGTATTCACTTCCTAAGTTCAGGTTACTATCCAGCAGACAAACACTGTAACAGTAGCCCAGAGCATATAATTACTGTAACGTGTAACGCCAGCATTTACAAGAGGAAAATGTTTCAATCTGTCAATTGATGTCTGGCTAGTTTCTGGCAGGGGTGGGGGGGAGGTTTGGGTTTTGGGTGTTTTTTTCCCTTTCTCCTTCTGTCCCTGTTCCCCCTTCTGACATCCAGGCAATTCTTTCTATTCCCTCTCCTCACAATACCTGCAAATTTAGGGAGTTTTGTTCAAGGGATGCTCAAAATTGCATTAAAACCGTGCTTTAAGGGGCCTGAAATTAAACATTTCTAATGGGGTCGTCAAACTTAAAAGACACACAAACATATGAACAAGTAAGAGAATGGGGGAAAAAAGTCAACTGAGAGGATGACACTGTGAAGAAAACATTTCACTGCCACCAACACAGACAGAAATACAAGATACTCCTTGAATCTGAAGAGCCATAAGTGTGTTTGCAACTGTCACACAGGGCAAGAGGGAAGACACACGATGTCCAGGTTCCCGGCTGCCAGGCTACTCTACATTCAGACAAGGGTTGCTAACCTCCCTGCTGTTGTGCAGAGAAAAATGAGCAGAGGGGACAGAGGAAGGAATGAAAGGGGACTTAAAAGTCTCTCCCTTAACGTGAGATGAATCAGCATCGAGACAGATTACAAGTGTAACTACAACTATCAATTCTAAGTGAAGGGCATCCAAAATATTTTGCTTTTGTCAAATATATCCACGGGCACCTTCCCTTTCCTTCTCAAACTTAAAAAAAAAAAAAAAAACAAACAAAAAAACACCCCAAAACAACAATAAAAATAAAAGCAAAATCCAACAACAATAACAAACAAACCAAGAAAAACAAAAGACAAAAATACCCCAAACCACCAGTCATTATCAGATATCACACACCGGGAAAAAAAAAAAAAAAATCCACCAGTCAGGGACAGCAAGATCCTGGCAACGTGCAGATGGGTCCCAAGGGCGGCAGAGCTAGTGATGATGTCTTTCTAAAGCGCTCGTAATTTCCTATAAGCCAAGATAAATTGAGTATTTCTGCAGGGTCCACCACGATCAGCAATGGCAGCAGCCGCCTTACTTCATCTTCATTAGAAACCATAAAGGGCAAAAAGACCACAACATCTCGGGACGGGAGGCAGAAAGAGCCCGGTGTGTCCGCCACTGAGAAGGGCACCCGGAAGGATGGGACGGGACAGGACGGCAGCCCCGGGCTCCCACGGCCGCGCGTGGGCAGGGGCGCGACTCTCCCGTCGGGAAGCCCCCGCCGTAGGGAGCGGGTGCGGGCCGCGAGCATCCCCAGAACCACGCACCCCCCCGCACTCCCACGGCCGCGCGGCGGCGGCCGGGCTAGGGTGAGAAGTAGGAGACAACCGAGGAGAGGAGGAGGAGGAGACTGCGAGAGGAAGACGTCGGGGGCACATGCGAGAAGGGAGAGGGCTGGGCTGCGGGGCTCCTTGGGGCGCGGGGCTGGGGGGGGTAGTGCCCTTCCCGGGGGGCTACAGCCCGGGGTGCCCACCGCTAGGGCGGGGGGCGTGGGGGTAGCGCATCCCAGGAGGCTCGATCGTGGTGGGGGGCAGGGGGTACCCCGGCCCCCCAGGGGCGCAGAGAGTGCCGCGGGGACCGTGCGGAGCAGGGCCGGAGGGGTGGTGGGGAGCGGGGGTGGTCGCCGCTCCCGCCCGCAGCAGGGCGAGCAGGACAAATGTACACGGAAGAGTTGCTGAAAGGGTGTGGGGGTGCTGAGGAGCAATGGAGGCTGGATGGAGCCTGGGGGAGCGGGGAGCGCCTCCAGAGATGCCGAGGTGGCCGGGGGCGGCGGGGGGGGTGGCCGGGACGGTTGCTAGGAAAGGGCACAGCCGAGGATGACAAGGGGGGCAAGGGGGTACCAGGCAGCACCAGGGGGATGCGGAGAAGGGAGGGAAGATGAAGGATAAAGGTAGAGACCGAGGATCGCAGATAAATGCGGGGGAGAGGGTGCTGCCGTGGGGGAGGGATGGCGAGCGACATGGGGGTAGGAGCCCGGCGGGGGGAGGGGAGGCGGACGGGGAGCTCAGGCGGGGCAGAGGTAGGTGTACGCCGGCAGAGACCGGGGGGCAGCCGCTGCTACCTGCAGGCGAGCGCAGGTCCCTCTCTCGCTGGTGCCGGGCACAGGCTGCGGGACAATCCGTCGCGGGCGCCCCGACTCCGGCCGGGCGCGGGGCTGGAAAGGGGGTGCAGCCGCTCACTGAGTCATGAGCCCGCTGCCCCGCGCTCCTCGCTCTCGGTTTCCTCTCCCCTTTCCCGTCTCTCCCGAGCAGCAGCGACGGCCGCGCCGCTTCTCCCTGCGCCGCCGCTCCTGCCCCCGCTGCCCGGAGAGAAGTGAAGCCGCTGCCGCGCGCGCGCGCGCACCCCCGCCGCCGCCGCCTCCGCGCGCGCGCGCGCGCCCCCACCCGTCCGCCCGGCGCCGCGCGCGCGCGCGCCCGCCAGCCAATTATCCCGGGCGCTCGCGGGCCGCCGAGGGAGGGGCGGGAGGGCGGGGGCGCGCGCGCGGCTTCGGCGAGGGAGCGGGGGGGGAAGTGACGGGATGGGCGCGCGGGCGGGCGCGCGTCCGCGGGGGCCGGCGGAGGCCGCGCGCCGCCGGGCAGGGGGGAGGGGCGAGAGGCGGCGGCGGGAGCGCGCGTTAAAGGGAAGCACCGGGGGCTGGGCGGGGTCAGCGGGGCAGAGGAAGAAGGAGGAGGCGGCGGGAGGGGATGGGGTCAGCCGGGACCTTTGGCCAGGGATTCGGGGGGGATGGAGGTGAGGGTACCCGGCCTTTTCCCCTGCCGCCGCCGGGCTGCCGTGGGCCCCACGCGAAAGTCAGGGAGGTAGAAGGGGCAGGCCGGGACAGGGCAGGGGGCAGCGGAGGCCGGCATCAACTTTCTAGGCTCTTCTCGTCTTTTTCGGCTCCTTTGTTCCCCTCGGCAGTCGCCCCCTCCTCCGCCCCCTCCCCGGTCCTGGCGGCCCGCAGCTCCCCAGCGCCTTTGTCTCGGCGGAGCCGGAGGGAGCAGCCGGAGGGGACGCGGCCGCTGCCCCGGGCGGGGAGGGACGCGGTACCTGGGGAGGGGCGGTGCGGGGCACGCGGTGCCTCGGCCGGCCTGCAGGAGGGCCCAGGCCTCGGCACTTGGTGGCCACACTTTGTGTTACCGTGGTAGTTTTGGCCGCTGTGGCATCAGCACGGTCGGGTGGCACAAACCGCCCCGGGCCGCTGGCGGCCCCGGTGACGTGCGGTATCCCGGCTGGAGATAGGCGCTGTCGCCCGATTGTGGCCAGGTAAATGAACCTCACCTCCCACGCAGGCAGGCATTGCCTCTGCGGAAAGCATCGCAGGCAGGAATGGGAGAGGCCAAAGGCAAAGCCGCACTTAAATGTTAGTTGTTTAGTGCGAATATTAACCTGGAACAAGACAAACCTCCAGTAGAACTGGCTGTCAGGTAACCTGGGCTGCGCTGGGCGAGTGAGACACTTCTGTCCCTGTGCCGACCCTGCTGCTTTAATCTTTACATAATATGCTTAGGTATATTATGTAAACTATCACCTCAAACCTTTCTTCCTCAAACAGGGAAATATACCAGCCAAGGGTAAAGGGGTAATGCCAAGTCAAAATGTTTTCCCTCTTTTAACAACTGCTATAGATAAAAAATTAATCCAGCCAAATTAAAAACAAAAATTGATTTTATTTAGCAATTGAAATCTATCTGAGCCAGCCACAAAGAAAAGGGCAGTGCCGAGCCCGGGCTCGGCAATGGGTCAGACAGCTGGGTAGTGGCACTGACAGCTACAGCAGAGGGTCCCCCTATGTTTCACACCTCCCGTTCTGTGCGAGCAATTTTTATATGGTTTATTTTGCTTAAGGCCAGGATTTCAGCGATAAGCCTTTTCTTTCCATTCAAAGTCTCACATATTCATAAAGTCTCTGTGCTGAGTTGAACAATTCAGTGTCCAGGAAGGGAACATGGTATTGAGATGTATCCTTTTGGGTGGTTCCAGTGATTCCAGTCTTGGGTTGTTGTTGGGACCATCATCACTCATGAGTTCCTGGATTACCTTGAGAAATGACCCATCTCCAGATGAACTACATGTATTAACTTGTAATGAGGTCTTATCAGAAACAGTTTCAACATATGAGAGGCAAACCCCCTACTATCGGCTGGTATGATTTTTTAAATAATACAAAACATTACATAATTATCATTCTACAGGCACAAATTATCTATATTATGCATAACAACAACTAAAGGGGATTAAAAAAATAAAATGTGTTCTCACCATTCCACATGTAGGAGGAAAAGTTTTTCCCTGCTTGAACTGCGAAGTGTTGTATTTTTATTGACTTATGGTTGAGGTGTAGGTGGAGCCTGTGCCACCAAATATACAGAAGTTGAGAACTTGAAGCATTACTGAGATATATTAGGGTTAGAAACATCATTGATACCTGCTCTCGTATTATATCCAGATAACTGAAGTGTTCAGTTACCCTGAACATAAAATCAACAATTTTCTTTGTTGAGAAATTGTGTTTAAATTATTTGGTTTATTTCATCTTCCTATTTCTTTGCTAAATAATCCCAGTGTTATTTTCACCTAAACCTAAAAATACCACAGTCAGCTAGTTCTTCCTATTCTTTGTACATTTACAAGATATTTTCTTGCTTGTGATGGAGAAAAGCTCCTAATGTCATCTAGGTGGGTTTCTATCTGCTAAGCATACATTGACTTCTCAGAAGAATTAATAATTAAATAATTAATGGAATATGAAGTGCAAAAGTCCTTCAAAAAATGCAAACCTCCAGCAAGTAATGCTACTCATTGTGCTGAAAGGTGCATTGCACACTTTTGACATCATGGTTCCCTTTTCTAAAATCACTTAAACCATGCTTTCAGTCATTTGAAAACAGACCTCCAGAAAACCATCCAGGAAGTGATAAAATTCAATTCTAAATGATTCTTCTAACCATATTTCCTTAATGTTGCTCTGATGGCTTAAGGGTGCCTTAAAAGTAGGCATACATTGATCTGTGTTAACTCCTTGGCCCATCTCAGGACGTCTCTCTTTGGTGGCAGTTCATGGTGCTTCATTACAGATCTTTTCTGCTAGGATTTGCAGGAAGCACAGAGAGAAAAGCTGAGTGAATAGCCTAATTGAGACAGGGGCAGGATGGGCCCACACAGTGTCCCAGAATCTGGGTCATAATTTCCCAATGCCAAAATAATCAAGGCAGCGCTGAAGTGTTTGAGCACTGAGTGAGAGGTTTGAGTCATCACGAGTCAGGCCCTGATTTCTTCTTTTGGTGTGTAACCTCTGGCCCAGAGCCCGAAATGGTAGGGCTTAATTTAAGGACAACTAAACTAGGCAGAAGGTTTGTACTGCCTTATGAATAGAAAATACACACTGAGGTGTGCCCTGTTTTAAAAGCAGAGGTTTTGAATGAGCCCTACCTATGCAGTGTAAAGAGAGTAGGGCAGGGTAGTCAGCTGCTCCCGCTTTTATCCTTTTGACCTTTCAAAATAACGTGTTTTGCCCTCAGATGTTAAAGGTGGCATAATATTGCTCAAAATCTTTTGAAGACTTTTCTAAATTTGGATTCTATAGGTTGAATCCTGACCCTTTTGAAGTGAGTGGCAATAGTTCAGTGTTAGATTTCACCCACGCTGGAGTGCTAAGGTGCACAGTTACAATTTTTTTTTTCCCTCCATGTTTAGTTTTGTCTGGTTTCTAAAAGCTGACACTATTTACACCACCAGACACATCTAAAGCAAGCAACATGAGTTCTTTACTCTCATAGAGACTGGGAGCTTCCTTGTGGAGACACACCAGAGTTCATCTCACCTAGCACAGGCAGTCATGCTTTAAAACTATTATGGTTAAGGACACTTTTGTTAAGGGCTCTTGATTTGAGTGTCTGTTATAAGGGCAGATATGTCAGTCAAAATCTATGAAGTTGGAGAAATCTGAGCAAAGTTTCCATTTAGAAGTGTTTAATTTAAAGAAGTAATAGATCTATTTAAATTGTTCAGGTTTTTAAACTTTTTTTAGCTATACTGAGAGCTGTACTCAGTTACAGTGAGTTTTATCCATTTCTGTTTAGTTAAAAAAAACAGGGAAATATTGTTCCGTGTCAAAAAAAGAAATAAGAAAATGCAACTTTGATTTTTTCTGCATTTCTATTTATGCATTACTGTTCATTCCCGTTTAAAAGGACATGTTGTTTTTATATCACTGTTAAAGTCATTGAATGAACACTATTGTCAAGTTGTAACTAGTAAAAAGGGTTTGATTTTCTAAGGTAGAGAAAAGATGAGAAATCATCTCAACTGTGGTATAGGTGAAGACATAACTATCTCTCTTGTGACAGCATATCTCTCTTTCAAAACTTTATTATTTTATATTAAGAAGTGAGATGATAATATTCATTTGTCCATGATGTGCCTGATTGCTACATCAATCTTTTTCAGCCAAGTCCTAATGAGCCAGTTTGTTTCATCCATCTGAACTATTATCAGCAGAAGTTTGGAGGAATGGGGACAAAGGTGCCTTTATTCATTTTTTACCTGATTCCACTTTCCAGCTCCACAGGAGCTGTTAAAGCCTGTGTTTTTCCCCCATCCCTCCCCTGCTAGGAGTTGGGCCCTGTGGGGCTGTTTGGATAGTGGACAGCAGGCAGCTCTCAGCAGCAGGCCCTCTCTTTCCCAGTCTGGTCCTCCATCCTGAGCACAGAATGAGGAGTTTCTGCAGTAGCTTTATGCTGTTCCAAGATTCTTCTCCCATAGCTGGTTTTCCTTAAACTACTATGATGGCACAAAGCTGTGAGGACCATTCAGAGGATCTAGCCTGTTGTCTATTTTTCCCTCTTTGGTAATTCTCTTTCTCCTGTTTGTAGATAGTTTATTCTCACACTATATCTATTTTTTTTTTCTACAATCATACTTTGCTTTTGTTGCTGCATGGATGAATCCCAGTCTATCTATTGGCAAATGTAAACTGAAATTCACAGGTACCCTGATCTCTGAAGTGCCAGCTCTGTTTGAAAATGCAGTATCTGAGTGATTCAGAGATCAGGATTCTTCTTTTTGTTTCTCTTCTATCAGCATGTAGAATAAAGTGGCATAGCAAGGAAGATATCTGCAGCAGAAATTTAATTAGAGTTTTCAGTTAATTGTGTATGTCCTCATCATTTAAAAAATGGCATCCTATATCAAGGAAAACATTGAATCCTGAACACTAAGTAAGCCTATTATTCAAACAATGCCTTGACAGAAGTCTGTTTAAAGTATTTTCATGGCATTCTGAAGTAAAATGATTGTGTGAACACAGAGGCAAGTTACTGCTAGCCTGACTTCTTTATTTGCTCTACAATACTGCAAACCCCCAAATCAT